ACATTTTAATTTTTATTAATAATTATACATTTTTTCATGCACAACTAATATAATTTAAAAAACTGCGCAATATAAGTACGCGGTGTAAATATATATTGTTACATTGTCTCGTACAAGAATTTATATTTTCAGACCCACTCGTGCAATGTTGGTTGTGGGCTCCAAATCGATAATTAAATTTTAAAATTAAAATAAAATAGACAATCAAGAGGTCACTTCCCTTACATACTCACATACACATGTATCATATTCTGCAGTTGAAAGAATAAAAGAACATCCTATTAATCAGATTCCTCAAGAGTTTGGTTATAGGAACTATTTTGCCCATTTTCTTGTTGGGACATATTTGTCATCCACTTTTCTTGGCTCAAAATTCTTCCACTATGTATTTGCACTAATGTTTTTGACAGTATGCTAGCAATAAATAACACAACTTAAATTTAAATTTAAAGGCAGGTAGAGAATTTTGCCGCCCTTGTAGTCCTACCCGACTTGATTTCGGATTAGTCGGTTCCTCTGTGGATCCAGAAACCGGAAGGTCCATGTACCAAAAAAAAAAAAGCACATGTTTTTTTTTTTTCTTTTTTCTCAACATCTTTTTATTGGCAAAAATATATCATAGAAATTGATCAAATAACTTGCTCTTCTTTAAATAAAAAACATTACAATATGTAAATCACTAAATTGTATGTCTATTTTATTTAGTTGGACGAAGTGCACTGTGATTGGGTGTGTAAATTAAACAAGTTGAGTCGAACGTGAGCCTTGCTCTTTAACCAACGAGCTAACAATCGTTTGATTCATTTACCAATATTATTAACGAGTCCAACTATTACAAATAACATAAAATTCTATATTTTCGAGCACAACGAGATTTAAACGAAATCGGACTCAGCAAATGAAACGACCTTAGCTCACGAGCAACTGTCGCCTTAAATGGTTCTAATTTGTATAGCTTATCAACATCTCAATTCAATTCAGCTGCAAATATCTTCACTTAAAAATTAAAATCATTATACCAATTAAAATCTTCACTTAGAAATTAAATCATTATACCAATCAGTTGATTGGATGGATATTGTTTACTAATTCATTTCATGAATATGACTTTCTTCAGAAAAAAGTGTAGTCATATAATCACAAAATAACACTGTTTTTTTTTTTTTTT